TAAAAATGTCTATAGCTGGATATTGGCTAGTTATTCTCCGGTTTTATATTGTTAAAACACTTTACAGAATTTTATTGTTTATATTTTAACTCTTCACTATTATTTTATTCTGATACATTTTTCTAAGGTCCACATTTGTGTGTCTACAATCTTTTGCAGCTGCAAACACCAGAGTTTCCCCATTATGAGACAAAATCGGTATATTCTTTTCTATTCTACTGTGGGGGAAAAAATAACGTAAAGCAAGCAGAACCAAAATGAAGAGCAAACAGTCCTGAAGGGTCCATCTTGGTTTTGTGTCTCTGGTTCTGAGTTGTAGATGTGATCATTTCTCCCTTTAGTTAAATTCCAAATATAAAAATGTGTGGTTCTGAGGTTCTGTGTTCGTCTTGGCCGGACCTCCAGAATATGACCGGACTAAATTCCAACAATAAAAATCAACCTTTATAAGTAGGATCATGTAAGACTCGAACCGTCGGTTCCACCAGCGGGAGGTGGACGCGCTAACCGCTGGACCACCGATAAGAACAACACAATGATCACTTACCGGAAGTAGAAGAGCGGTGAGGATCGACAGACTCTAACGGTCTGGGTTCTAACCGGTCCGGTTCCGGCTCCGGTTCGACCTTTCTTCTGAGTCTGTAAGCAGGTTCCGATCAATAATCAATTATTATTCTGCTTCTGATCTGTTTTGCTTCCTCTACTGGCGCCCAAATGTGACGTCACTCCTTGGCCAATCCGTACCCAGAATCAGCTCTACGTCATTTTCAGCGTCGGTCGACGTGAACCCGGTCCGGTGTTGCCTGAGCCGGACAGTCGGGGCTCGGTACCAGCGTCCTCTCAGGAACCGGCTTAAAAAGTTCGACTCGGCAAGCAATTACGTCACTTCCGGGGGCATTTAGAGTTGTGTCATTAAACTAGCAGCGTTGAACCGCGGAGAACCGAACCCGGAGGCTGAGAGATGAGCTGGGATCAGCTGCAGCTGAAGCCGCGGATCATCTCCGCTGTGCGGAAAGGTACCGGCGGCTCCACCAGAGTCCAGTCTGCAAACCGCCACTTTAACTGTTCCTCCCTCAGTCCGGGAAAATCCCAGCTAGACTCTTTAAAATCTTTATCTTTTAAAACCTGCATTGACTTCGGCTTTATTTCATTCATCTTAAATTAATTGAATTTTTATTTTTAATTAAAACTAAAAGCTTTAGTGTGGGTTAAGTTGTGTCACACTAATGAGCATCAATATGCGGCTCTTTGGTTTTGTTGTTGCCATAGTGACCTGTTTCCTCCTCCACCAGCTCAACTAAAGTCTGTTAGGGAGGTTCTGTGTTCGTCTGGGCCGGACCTCCAGAATATGACCGGATTGTCCCCATCAGATCTCCAGGAGCTGCTCCATGCTGCTGCCACAGCCTGCAGACCTCACCAGCCAGTCACAGGTCAGACCTCTGATTGGATGAGACACTATGATGTCATGGGTAATGGCGACCATTGGTCTGCTGGTGTAACAGAAATGTTTGCTCCCTCAGCCCTTCAGCTCCAGCGAGGTGAGTGTCCCAGGTTAGAGTCTGGACTCCGGCTCAGTACGGGCTGTCCGGTTCTGAACCAGCTGCTGAGGGGCGGTCTGCCAGTAGGGGGAGTCACTGAGCTGTCAGGAGAGAGCGGAGCCGGGAAGACGCAGCTTGGTCTGCAGCTGTGCCTGTCGGTGCAGTATCCAGTTGAACATGGAGGCCTGGGCGCTGGTCAGTAAACGTTCCAGGAATAACCACGGTTTCAGCGACTGCATCATCGCCATAAACCGATCAATCATGTGACATTTTCCTGCCAGGAGCGTTATATATCTGCACCGAGGATCAGTTTCCAATCAAGCGCCTTCAGCAGCTGATCTCAGAGCAGTCTGTTCTGCGCTCTGACGTCCCTCCATCTCTGATCAGCAGCCTTCGCTTCAGTGACAACGTCTATATTGAACACACGGCTGACCTGGTGGGTGTTTCCTCTGACCTCAGATCAGTTTGCATCTGTTGGCTAGCCACAGGCTCACAGGTGTGTTTGTCTTCAGGACTCCTTGCAGGTGTGTCTTTCACGCCGTGCCCCCCTCCTACTGGCTCAGGGTCGGGTCCGGCTCATTGTGGTTGATTCAGTGGCAGCTCTGTTCAGGTGTGAGTTCCAGGCAGATGATTGGCTAGAGAGAAACAAACAGCTGCTCAGCTTTTCCTCCATGTTGCACAAACTCAGCCAGGACTTCACTACACCTGTACTCTGTATCAACCAG